ATCGACTCCATGCCACGCCGCATTGCTGCAGTAATACAGGCCAAAGGAGGCCCAACTAAATACTGAGTGCTGTACATGCTCATACTTTTCATGTTCATACTTTTCAGTTGGCCAACATTTCTATAAATCCTTTGTTTTTATTGGTCTTCAGTAATATTCTAATTTTCTGATATGATGAATTTGAGATTTTCATTTGTTGTCATTTGTAATCATCAAAATTAAACAAAATAAACATCTGAAATATATGAGTTTGTATGTAATGTATGAATATAATATACAAGTTTCACTTTTTAAATGGAATTACTGAAATCAATCTACTTTTTCATGATATTCTAATTTTATGACCAGCACCTGTACTTATCAGGGCCGTGCAGAGACCGCTAAAGGGGCAGGTGCTCAAAAAAAAAAAGGGCACATCTTATCGCATTTTAGGACAGAATATTAACAAAGTCACATCGCTTTCAGAGTTTAATGAACAATGATAAATTACAAAATTGTGAGACATACAATCAAAGCTAAGGGAAATCTCTACATATAACATAGAACTATGCATATGTAAAATATTTTATTAGTAATTTCTTTCTGCAGGTCTATTTTGTTATAGGAAAGTATTACAATATTCAAACCTGCAATTTAGCCAAAGATGTAAATCAGAGCTGGACCACCAGACATATTTTGTCTTTACAGAATTAAACTGTTAAAAATGCATACAAGGGCACAATGCAACCTTTTAGTGTACTGTAATCTATAAAAAGAATGTATGCCTGGTTTGCTGTACTGACAGTGGAGATGGAGACGGTCCATTCAGAAAAGCAGAGCTGCTGCATCAAACTTTAACGTGGAACTGCAGAAAAAAAAGAACAAAAGCAAACATTTTATTAATGCATGTCACCATGAGAAAAGCCTACTCTGTTTGTGTCTTAGTGTATTTTGCAAGTACCTATATACATTTTCTTCAATCTTTCCTCTTCATTTTTTCTTGTCAGTTTCTCTTTTCTTTTTTTCCTCATTGTCTCATCTTTTCTGTGTTGAGTGAAGGTCAATGTCTTATTTATTTCAGTCTCTTGCCTTTCTTTTTCCCCCAAACTAAATCCAAGATTATAATCCAAAAACTTATTTTCCGTCATGGTGATTTAACTGTTTAAAAACAAATTTCCAACTTTTAAGCATTTTTGCTATTTTTGTTCTCTTTTGTTCACAGCAGCAGTTTTCTGTTAGCCATGTCTTTAAAAATGTTAATAACCTCACTGTGATTAATTGGCACATCTTTCTCGATTGCCAACAAAATAAGGTCTGACAACCGATCCTCCTTGCATAAGCTGCGCAGTTTTGTTTTCACCAGCTTCATACATTATATCTATCATATATCTATCATGGTAGTTCTGGATGAGTTCTCCTTCTAGATACATTTACCTAACGCTAGAATAAATGAAATGTACATCATGCAGCAAAGGAAATTAGAAAATCAGACATATATCCATTATGGAGATGATAGGTTTTTGACGGGCGATGTGCCCCTATTGCATAAGTAATACTGAAGAATGTCCTACTATCATTAACGACACAGGGAAGCTTTTTAGTTATCTTGCTTTGCTAGCAAAGTCATTAGCTAGCAGCTAGCTCATAGCACAAGAACAACAGCCAGTCTGTATGATAAAAATACTGAATCGATAGATAAGAACAGCTTTTCCTCACCTGGCTGTCTCCTCCCGCTCAGTAGTTCTTCAGAGAAAGAACTACTTTCCTCCGTTTAAACCGCTACTCTTTGCTAAAGTAGAGAAATTATACAACGTTCAAAGTTTTCCGTTGTCTGACAAGTAGGAAGCCTACTCCAGTATTTTCACCAAAAATTATGTTTTTTAATTCACAAAAAAACTGTTCTGTAATCATTACAGAACAGTTTTTTGTGAATTAAAAAAACATAATTTTCAATGTAAAAGACTAAAAGCACAGAGTAAACAGTGTTTTAGATCAAACAATACTGCATCATCCATGGGGCTCATTTGGTTTCACTTACATCTCTATTCAGGTTGACATTGGAGAGCCGGTGCAGACTGAAGACATAGCCATCTGTCCGATCATGGTTGATCTTGCTTAGGGCCAAATGAGCAGCGGCCACAGTGTAATGTGGAATATTCGCTACCTTTAGCTCCTCAGTTAGCTGCCTTATCTGACTGTGCGAGAGGGGTCAAAGGTAACAATGTGACCGGAGGGCTTATTGTATTGTTTTTCTTGCCAAAAAAAAAAAATATTATAACAATAATTTCAGTACATGTGTCAAAAAAAAAAAAAAAAAAAAAAAAAAAAAAAAAGGGACCAAAAGGGCACATTGGGATCATGGAGCAAAAGGGGCAGGTGCTCAAGCCCCCTTAGCCCCCCCCCCTCTGCACGTGCCTGATACTTAAGAAGGGGGAATAATGTGTTACCATTAAAGCTGCAATGCCCTTCTTGAATAAGTGTACAAACCCTTAGACACTTAAAAACAATCCACTGGACCTTGTTTCAAAGTTTAAAGACGTTTCTCTTCCCATCCAGGAAGCTTTTTTTTTTTTCAAAATGTCAGAAAAAGTGTTGAGTTCCAGGCTTTATAGAGTAGCCCAACAAACACTTGTTTTTACAAAAACAAGGCTTTGTTGACTTTTTTGAAATGACTATGATCCTGGATGATGGAGAACCTTCACCAGCACATCATGATTAAGTTTCCTCCGTTCCTCCTGCATATCCCACATCTCGACTTGCTCACATTAAAGGAATAGTACACCCAAAACATGATTAGCCTTCATTTTCTACTCACCCCCATGCTGAACAACACTCTGGAGTACTTTTTTGATATCTCAAATGCATCTGGAGATCTGGGAGGCTTCTTGCTGTCTGCTGACATTCAAATAATGGAGGTCTACGGTGCCCGAGACAGAAAGGTCCATAAAAGTCCACAAAAACGTGTCAATATTCCTCCATACTGCTCCTCCAATGTATTCCAAGTGTCCTGAGTGGGTAGCATCCAGAATTTACTCGAAACGAAGTCATTTAGAATGTTTTTAGAGCATAAACAGTAGTGTATAGGATTTCCTGAAAGCGCGCGCCAGCGCGTTCAGGACGCTACGGAAGCCGGCAGACCAAACCAGATGAAAGTGCGCATTCAGCGTCTGCTCTGCCGATAATGCAAGCGTAGAAGAAGAAATGTGCTGTTTACCTGTGCAAAGAAAGAAACAACGAATGAAAAATGTCTGAGGACTTCAGTGTTGAGGAAGAGCAGGAGTTCTTTGCCGAGCTGAATGCGCTGGTTTGGTCTGCCGGCTTCCGTAGCGTCGTGAACGCGCATGTGCGCGCTTTCAGGAAATCCTATACACTACTGTTTATGCTCTAAAAACATTCTAAATGACTTCGTTTCGTGTAAATTCTGGATGCTACCCACTCAGGACACTTGGAATACATTGGACGAGCAGTATGGAGGAATATTGACACGTTTTTGTGGACTTTTATGGACCTTTCTGCCTCGGGCGCCATAGACCTCCATTATTTGAATGTCAGCAGACAGCAAGAAGCCTCCCAGATCTCCAGATGCATTTGAGATATCAAAAAAGTACTCCAGAGTGTTGTTCAGCATGGGGGTGAGTAGAAAATGAAGGCTAATCATGTTTTGGGTGTACTATTCCTTTAAGCCGTGCTTAAAATACACGGTTGTTCCAAAGCTGTGTAACTCTAAAGACTTCTCTTCTCCAAAATTCTATTCAGATGACACAAAAGGTTTTTCCACCATATTGGATCAGTCCATTTGCTGCACATGTTCAGAAAGGTCCAAACAGACAGCAGCAAACCATTTGAAAACAAAGGATGCAAAGAGCAGTGTTGCCAACTTAGCGCTTTAGTCGCTATATTTAGCGCCTAGCACCAAATCTAGAGACTTTTTTCTACTACTGGAGACTTTGGAGACAACATCTAAAAGCAGTGAACTCTGCTCTCCAGAGCAAGTAGATTGGTAACCCCGCCTCCTGCTCTCCTCTATCTTGTCTGCTGTCATGATTCATGCAGCTATTATTTCATCCAAATGAAAAATGGAGAACAGATAAGCAGATCATGGCTTGTCTACAGTGAAAAGAAGGACTGAGTTATTTACTTTTGCCTTTTTGGAAACACAGGAAGGAGCAATCAGCTAAGTGAGCTTAGTGCTTGGAAAAAATCTTTCATTCCAACCAGGAGTACAAAACATAGAGAGGAAAACAAAAGGAAAAGGGAGAAGAAGAGAGGGACAAAACCTAGAACAAATAATGGCTGTCTATTCTATTAACATTTCTCTATCTGTATAATGGGTCTGTTCTATGTGTTGTCTTCTTAGTTCAGAGGGCCCCCTGTCTGTCTTTGCCTAGGGCCCCAAATGTCCTATATCCGCCCCTGACCCTAACCATCCACTGATCCGCCTATCGATGTTATAATGCCTGCATTTGTAAATGTCACCGCTTAGGCACACATATACAGCCATTATTTTATATTTTCATTTTCTTTCTGCAAATAGAATTTTTTAGGTTTCAGTGAACTCATGCTTGAGCAATATTAAAATAATTTGAAGGATTATGGACAAATTTCTCACAGTTTAAACCACCGTAAGCATTTAACAGCATTTTTATTTATTTATTTATTTTTAAACTGCTTTTGTTCCTACAATTTTGAGTTCTAAGTTGCCATTAAGGGGAAAAAAAGTAGCTGGAAATTATATATATATATATATATATATATATATATATATATATATATATATATAAGCTTACTATGAATGAGAATATGGTTGGGATTTTATAATGTTTTCTTCTTCCCACTCCCTTTCAGACCTTTTTTATTTATTTATTTTTTTATAATGACTCATGCGTTTGAATTGATAAACTGGCATTAACTTGTATGTTTCAATGCATTGTGTGTGTAGACCGATATGACACGAGGTTTTAGACAGCAGGGGGCAGCAGTGCGCCGGCGTCACCTGTGCTCTGTGTGACAAATGAAGAAGAAGAAGTTTCCAGAGCTCCGTTGGAGCTGCAGGCTAAGGTAAGCTAACAGGGTAGCTGCTGTCCGCAGACATGTTCGGCTGTCTGGTGGCCGGTAGGCTGGTTCAGACCGACTCGGTCCAGGTCGCCTCTGATAAATTCGTCTTTAATCTGGCAGATTATGAGAATGTGAACCATGTGGTGGTGTTCATGCTGGGCACCGTCCCGTTCCCCGCCGGAATGGGAGGAGCCGTATACTTCTCGTTCCCCGACCCGCTGAGCGGCGCTCCGGTGTGGCAGCTCCTCGGCTTCATCACTAACGAGAAGCCCAGCGCCATCTTCAAGATCTCCGGGCTCAAGGCAGGGGAGGGCGGGGCGCACCCCTTCGGCGTGATGGCTTCAGCCGCCCCATCTGTGGCTCAGGTCGGCGTGTCCGTGGAAAGTCTGGATCAACTGGCCCAGCAGATCCCCGTGTCCAGCGCCGCCGTGTCCTCCGTGGACACGTTCATGCAGTTCACCCAGAAGATGCTGGACAGCCTCTACAACTTCGCCTCATCGTTCGCTGTGTCGCAGGCGCAGATGACGCCGAACCCCACGGAGACCTTCATCCCCTCCAGCTGCATCCTCAAGTGGTATGAGAACTTCCAGAGAAGGATGGCGCAGAACCCGAACTTCTGGAAGAGCTGAACCTTTCTGTCCCACGGTGGACAGAAGAGACCAGTGCAGGGGCCCCACGAAGGGTCCCTCAGGAGCCCGTTTCACAAATTCACCAAAACTTCCTTCCCCAATAAAAGCCGATCTGCCATAAAACTGTTGAGGTTTTCAGCTCCAATCGGCGTTTAGTGGGACAGAAACAGCTGTGCCTTTCCTAGGTCCATTAGCTCCTCGTGCAGAACACGTGCTCCAGCCTCTGAGCTGGGAAACATCAGGCTTCCTGGGATGTTTGAATAAACACTGAAATACACTTTTTCTATTAAAACATATCTGAGCTTTTCTCTGACCTTCTGTACCAAACAACCTTTGGCAACATTAAATACAGATAAAATCCCAAATATTTAATCATCTGAAAGAATCTAGTCTCTGATCAGGAGAATCCATGGGTGCTGAAGCAATCCTAGTTGTTTTTTTTTTAATATTGTATGCACTTTTTACAATAAAAAAGGACACCGTAAAGGCTATATAGTATTTGGTTATTTAACCCCTTCAATTATGTTCTGGTCCATCAGAAAAAACAAAACAAACAAGTAAACAAGCCTGATGCAGCTCCCTAAATATAATGCTGAGCAATGCTTTGAGGGAAATGCTGATGCTCAGTCAGATTTCTGCACCTATTGATGGTGTGATTGGTGAAATGTTCACCTGCGAGGTGCTCTAATGTGTCTGAGACTGCTTTGTTTGACCGAATCATTAGTAAATAGTTGTTTTTTCCAGTTTATAGTTATTTGAATTTATAATCTATTTTATGATTGCTAGTCTAAAGAGGGAGAGGTGTAAAGGGGGGTGGGGGCAGAGGAGCAAAGTGAAAGATCAGGAAAAACCAGGTAGGAAAACAAACAGAATAACAGCAGTAGTTAAACCAGCCAAGAAAAACATTTCATTCAGTAGATTATTTTATATTTCATGGAAGTAATTTTGGCACACCAAAGAGAAAACTAATTTCATAAAAACTGATTGAAAGGTTTCCATGAAATGAGTTGATTTAAAAACTTTAATTGGCTGGAATATTCTAAACAAATGCTGCTTTTTGCTTTGCTTGTGTTTTTGGCGCACGTCCCAGATACGAAAAAAAACACTGAATAAGTTAAAAAAAATATGTGTAGAAAACAGTTAAATTAATCTTGCCTGTGCAGACAGCTCTCTGGGTTCTCAGCCCCCCTGAACCTCTGATCCTATAATCGCCCCTGGGAAAATCAAATGTTTTTCTTATTTTGAGATGAAATTTTTTCAGTTCTTCTTTTTCTTTATTTTTTTCCACTCTCAGCCATGATGTTTTCCCTCAAAGAATGATGTAGACATCATCATTTAGTGATTATTGAGTTAAATAAATCGGATTCTTTTGTCTGATGGTTAATGAGGCATCTTGAAGCTAAACTGTATTGATGCTGCGTTGATCCTGTCCCACAGAATACTGACACCTGCTGGACATTTAGAGACACTACAGGCAGCTGATTGGACAGACTAAACTGAATTGATTTGATGACCTAGAACAATGATATAATTTAAAACATTTATCGTAACGTGAAAATTTCGGTGAAAATGTGAATGAGGATGGTTTTGCATTAGGATTTTAATTCATATTTTTAAAACAATAAGTGCAGTAGAAACAGAAAATAAACTAAGAGTCAATTTGAAATTAACTTTAATTCAGATAAGTTGAGTGATAACAGAGGAAAATGATGACACAACAAGAAAATTTAAGGCAAAAAAATTCTGGATCATTTTAATGATAAACTGCAAAACATTAGAATTTTTTTAGCACATGCATCATGTTGACAGATACGCTTTTAAACACAGTTTAGTGAGTCAGTCAGTTAGAAACAACTCCTTGATTGGTCACATGACTTTCTGGAAATGACTTTCCAAAAGGTTAAAAAAAAATCCAGTCATCCAGGTCATTGTCATTTCAAAATAGTAAAAAAAAAAAAAAATCCAATGGGTTTTGTTTCCAAGTTTGAAGACGTTTTGGTTTCCATCCAGGAACATTTTTCAATTCAAAATGCCAAAAAAAAGCTTCTTGGATGGGAAACGAAACGTCTTCTAATTTGGAAACAAAGTGCAGTGGATTTTTTTTTCTTTACTATTTTGGAATGACTATAATCTGGATTACTGAGAATCTGACCAGCTTCTTAAAATGACACACGCACCAATACAGAGTTCTGCTCTTTGGGCTCCATGCATGCACCGACGCCTCTGTGTTGCTGGATTCATCACTAGCCTTTCTTGTGAGTTGTGCACCGCAAAAATGATCTAAAAATAAGTAAAAATGTCTTAGATTAATTAGGTGAACATACCCTTAATTTGAGAAGGTAAATAAGATCATTTGCCAGTGGAATGATATTTTTTACTTTTAAAGTAAAATAATTGGATAATATGCACTTGAAATGAGTCAATAAAATTGTTTTTTCTTATTTAAAATGTAAATTGTCTTGTTCCATTGGCAAAGTGTCTCACTTTCCTCATTAATTCAAGAACAAACATGCACTTAATTTAGGAAATAATTACTTATTTAGATTTCCACCTGTTTGCAGTGTGGACGTAGGTCAGAGGTTATAAGACGGATCTCATTTAGAATATCAATACAAAATGACCTCAATTATTCAGCTCCAAAACAGGAAGTCCTTAATGTTATAGATTCAAAAGACAGAGTGATGTATTTTAACTTGGGAACATTAATGATTCCGACTTCCAGCTGAATTGCAAATCCTAAATCCATGCCTAGAGAAAGATGACGGATGATCATGGCAAAGACTGCTGACATGGCAGCTCTCTAGCAGACAGTCATTGTCTAAACACAAACAGTGGTTGCTAAGGCAGCTGGTGGTGCACAAAGGGCTCCATCCACTTAGGCTCATTTTATTTGAAAAATGTGCACAAGCAACATGTGTCATGATCTGGCCTGTTTGCTCTCCCTAATTAGTAATTCCTTTCACCTGCCGTTTTCCCTCCCTGCCTCAATTATAATTTATTCCCCTCACCTGTTTCCTCTGGTTTATATTCAGTTCAGCCTGAGCATTCAGTGCGATCATTGCTTGTCTTTCTGTCAGTCTTTCTGTTCAGTTCTATTTTATGGTTCATGTCCTGGATCCTAGCTGCCAGTGGAAAGAGGGTTTTAGTGTTTGTTTCGTCTCCTGGTCGTCCACTGTTCCTCCCCCACGGAGTCCTCTGGGTTTTTGGTTAATTATGGGGGGAGGTTCAGTTTTTATCCAGTAAGCCTGGCTCCAGGGAGGAGACCAGTTTAAAGTCCTGCTTCAAGTTCCGGTTCCTACGTCCTGTCTCGGCTACCCTCTTCTACTGTACCTGCCTGTCTGCACCTGATCCTGTCTGCTCCTATGCGTGACCTCCTGGTCATGCTTCTGGTCCCAGTCAGACTCTGAACCCTCCTGGAAGCCTGTGGATGCCTGGAAATCTGGATCCTGCCACCTGTTTCTGTTCCTGCCTGATCTGGATCCTGCCTTTTTCTGTCTGTTCCTGTCTGTTCTGGATCCCTCACCAGGATCGGCTTCCAGCATAACCTCTGGGACTGCAGCACTGGGGACATTCGTGGTCTGGACTGTTAAACCAGAATGTCTGAGATTGGGCGGTGCCCCGCCCCCCCGCCTGCAGTGTCCGCGAGCCACACCTCCGCTTTTTTTGTTTTGTTTATTCAATAAACGTTTTGAACTTTCCTACTGACTGTCTCTCCTTGAATACTGGGTCCCTCTGTCTTCGGCTCATGACAACATGGAGACCTGAGGACTGGGAAGTGAAGCCTATACTATGTTTGGGCAGATCTAGAAGCTTCCAGAACCACCTAATGTATCCGAAGAGCTCAGACATGTTAGAGAATACAACTGGAGCCTAAGCTGTTTACTGGGAACATTTAATAATGCATGCTGCTAAGGGACCAAAGGTTGGAAACCAAACCGGTTCTTCTCATTTGAAAGAAATCCCTCCACAGATCATGGTTTGTGTAGAGATTCACAGAGCTGCACTTTTCACCCTGAAAACGGACGCCATCACTAGCAAACCTAGATAATGTTGGAAGCTGGAGAGGTGCCTCTTTCATGCAGTCAACCATCTTTACGTGCCTCCTTGGGATGATCGTCTCCTCGGACGATGCAGACCAGGGATTGAAACCAAACCCCAAAGTCATGCTGAGAGGCGTTCAGGCTCTGGTTTAGATTCGGTTGAGATGTTCTTAATGTGAGGAAATAAGGAAGACGTAAATAGTTTCACCCTAAATATACATTTATAAATTAAAGGAGAAATCTGGTCATTAATGTATAGAGATATAAATAATTGCACATGCAAAATTTCAGCTGAATCAAACAACTGGAAGAAGATCAGGGGCATTACTTATTGAAAGCTCCTCATACAATAAAGCCTTTTATTTGAAGGAAATGCATCTAACAGCAGGAAGCATCTGATTGACGGGAACAACATTTGGAGAACTGATTCATCAGACTCAACTGATCAGATCAACTGGAAACCTCAGCGCTTCTGACCTTTAACCTTCAGTAAGCTGCTCATATGATGGCATTGGCTCATTTCCTTCCATCTACAGTGATTGCCATCCATCCCAACGCTGATGAAAAAAACAAAAACAAAGCTTTTCCTGCAGAATAATCTTGTTTTTTTGGGGCGGGAGAAGAGATTCTCCTAACATTCTTCTTCCTCATTCCAATAGTCAATGAAGATGCCTGATCACTCATCCATATTCTAATCAAACGGCCTGATTTCAAAAAGCTGAACTATTTATCTCTATTCTCCAACTCTGCAGAATCTTTTAATTCAATTTAATCAAATTCAGCTTAAGTGTCTTTTTTTCAATTGAATTAGATCCATTAATGTTTCTCTATATGCAATTTCTATTCATTTATCTATGAAATTCAATATTGCCATACAGACATATTTTTTTTCTCAAAGTACAAAAACTGAATTAGTTTATTAGATGTTTAATTTAATTCCACAAAAGATTTATGAAACATAACCTGGTCAAGCTATTTGGATTTAAAAGCAGGTTTTCAAATATGGATGGCTGCTCTGCCTCCTACAGCAGCTCTACATAGAAGCTGTTCAAATGTTTGTAAAGCTCTACATGTGTAATAATCTGATCACCATGTCTTGATTCAACAGAAACCACATAAAGAGGTTTTATAAACAAAGGTATTAAAGTCGGTAGAAAATAAATCTTTGAAATGAATTTGGTTTTTATTTATCATCACTGACATTTATGAATATTTTGAAGTCAGTTTCTGCTGACTTGCTCTGAAAAGTTGATCTGCTTGTTATTGATTGGAATCTTGGAAATTAAAATGTGGTTGGGGAGTGTTGGCCTAGAGCAGGGGTCTGCAACCTGCGGCTCCGGAGCCACATATGGCTCTTTGGACCCTCTCCAGCGGCTCTTAATAGTGGCTAAAATGTATATAAAGAGCTAAATAATTTACTATAATATATACCGGTAACAATAGCTTTAGCGTTTTTTATAAGATGGAAAAGAATGAGTTTAAAAGAACCAGAAATATATTTTCAGAGACATTTTTCTATGAATTAGCTTGAAAATTATATGTTTTAACTTTAAAAATATATGAATTGATTGTTTGAGATGACAACAACTAATTTCCTATACAAGCTTTTAAAAAAAAAGGTTTTCTAGAAAAAGTCATGGTATTATTTGCGGCTCTAAACAACTTTTATTTGGTCGTACTCTGGGCAAAACGGCTCTTTGGATATGAAAGGTTGCAGACCCCTGGCCTAGAGAGAAATATCAGCTGTGCTGTTGCCATCAACACCTTTGTTTTTTGGCACCAGTGGCTCATTTTTTCGACAGTAGGCTGACAGGAAAGGGGGTATGAGAGAGGGGGAGAGACATGCGGCAAAGGACCACAGGTCGGATTCAACCCTAGGTCGGCTGCGTGAGGACTAAGGCTTTCGAACATGGGTCGTGCGCGCTAACCGCTGCATCACCTGCATGCCCCATCAACACCTTTGTTTGTAGATGTTGGAGATCAGCCTGTTTTCCAGTGTAGTCCTGTTTCTCTGACTGTGACGGGCTGGATGGGCTCTCTTCATCCTCTGACATGGGAGCTTACTCTGAGCTCGTCTGCCTGGCTGTGTGTTTCCTGGACGGGGCCGCCTGTGGAGCTGGTTGACAGTTGCCTTTTGTATCTATGTTTCTTTTTCTATGTCTGCTTCTGTCTCCTTGAACCCCAGTCGGCCTCAGCAGATGGACGCTCACACTGAGCCTGGTTCTGCTGGAGGTTTCTTCCTGTTCAAAGGGAGTTTTTCCTCTCCACTGTCGCTACAAGCATGCTTAGTGTGAGGGATTGCTGAAGAGTCAATGAGTCGATGCAATCAGCTGGTTTTCCTTAGATAGAAAACTTTGAATCAATCTGACTGGATGATCTGGTGAACTGGAAAGTGCCTTGAGATGACATGTGTTGTAATAAACTGAACTGAACTATCTGCTGGAAGAAAGAACCTCTGCTTGTTTGGGTTTCTTGGCTCTTAAATCTCATCCTTTCCAGACACAATGTTCTAGATGTTTTCTGTATGTTCTCTAAGACAGTACTGTGAACATTTGATAGAGAGCAGATGGCTGATTAGCTGTGAAGGAAGGCCAGAGACTGAACCGAGGAAATGGGAGGAAATGGCCAAGGTGGCAGAGTAGGAACCAGTGAAACCAGAAAAAAAAGTCCAAATACCAACAAGAAACACAACAAACCGAAAGGAATGACCATCAGTTCAGCTCATTTATACTCTGAGAGCTAAAGCAGGAAGAAAACTGATAATACACATTAAAAACATGTAACCCTGTGAATGTTGAGGAAGTGTCTTGTTGGGGTTTTATGGGATGTAAACTGTCCACATTAATTCCAGGCCTGTTTACATGCTTCATTCTCAGTAGCACAAATAAAGCAACAACTTTATTATTATCATCATTATTAATATGTTTATTATGTAATTTTTAGTTCCAACATTCAAGTGAAATGATGCAGACATTTTTTTAGGGGCACACCCAGTTTGGTGTCAGGCTTGTGTGAGTCACAGAGTTAGGCTCTGAACCACAGGGATTATTTACTGGCAGGGTGTGTTTGTTTTCTCCATCTGGGCTGCAGGATCACCCAGTGAAAGAGTGAGAAACCCTGACTAAGGCTGCACTGGGTTTAAGCTGCACAAAGATGGTCAGATCGGAGCACTGCTGTGGCTCTAACAGGCTGGGTTAGATAATTACCACGTAACGCCATGAATGCGTTCAAGCAAAGAAATTAATGGTTTAAACCAGAAATGTAAAAAAGCAAAAAGAACAAAACAAATTTACAAATAATCTAAGATGAAAAGCTCAGCGAATAGGAATCAGGTTAGAGCAAATAAGAAAAGAGAGGATATGGTGAGACATGTTGAGACACTGTGAGAAAAAGAACTTAAACCCAAAAGGAGACAACTCAACAGAACTACATAATACTGCCCTATTCCTTATTTGTACACATTAATTATGTTTTTTGATAAAAATCCTTCGGTTAAAATACCATCAGAACGCATGTTCATGTATAATAATCTGATCACCATGTCTTGATTAAACAGAAACCACATAAAGAGGTTTTATAAACAAAGGTATTAAAGTCGGTAGAAAATAAATCTTCTTTGAAATTAATCTTGTTTTTTGTCATCACTGACATTCATGAATATTTTGAAGTCAGTTTCTACTGACTTGCTCTGGAAAGTCGATCTGCTTGTTATTGATTGGATTCTTGGAAATTAAAATGTGGTTGGGGAGTGTTGGCCTAGAGAGAAATATCAGCTGTGCTGCTGCCATCAACCCCTTTGTTTCTACATGTTGGAGCTTGGCCTGTTCAAAGGGAGTTTTTCCTCCACTGTCGCTACAAGCATGCTTTGAGTCAATCTGACTGGATGATCTGGTGAACTGGAAAGTGCCTTGAGATGACATGATGTGAATTGGCGCTATAGAAATAAACTGAATTGAATTGGTTAGAGCAGGACACTTGTGCTCTGAGAAGGTTGCAAGTATCTGGTCGGATTCCCCACAGCCTCCATTCTAGTTCTCTGAGCAAAACCCTTAACCCCCAATTGCTCCCTGTGTGCTGCACAATGGCAGCCCACTGGGTGGGTTAAATGCAGAGAGTGGATTTTGTCGCTCTGTCCTTTTGACAGTGTAATGACAATACAAAAGCTGAAAAAAAAATCAATTCAGAGCACAGGACTTAGTTCATATTTAACTTTCAAACAGGCCAGTTTGGAACCCCCCACCTCGACCCAGTGAAGCAGACTGGCATGGCTTTGGGGATCTACTGCGGGGGAAGAGGAAGTGAGTCACTGACAGTGTGGAGGGTGGTTTTGATGCCCTGTTCTCCGATTGTTCTTGGGTTCATATGGCAACGCAGCAAAGCATGCATACCAACAGCTTCTAACAAAACCAGCTGAAATTCCAGTCAGAACAAAGCCTGACTCTTCAAACAAAAGCTGAGAAAAACTGAAGTTTGCACAGCAGCATTGAGCAACACACCCAAGACCAGGATGTGTCTGTTCCAACTATTATATACTATTACATGTGTGAAGGGAAATCTATTTAAATTCATCTACATATTGGGATCTAATTTCCTGATCTGAAATTTTAGTGACGAATCAAACTTTCTTCAGGTTTGGGTTTGCTGTAGATGAAACAAACGGTTAAGCTGTAGTTAGAGGAACCTGTCTAAGCAGGAAAACAGGGTGTGTCTCTGCACTTCATAAAGGCACTCATGTTTCACAACCTGACAGTCTGCAGTTCTCCTACTAACAGGTACGTCTCTTTTTCTGTTTCTCACATCTAACTACCAGATCCACAAACAGACCAGCTAGTTCAGAGAAAACTTTAGTTTTTCTGATTTATAGAAAGACAAAATGAATAGTTTTACTGAGATGATGTGGAGCAACTTTACCGTTTACAGCAGAAGGGAAAACAGAAAAGAGAAGGCGCTTGATGGGTTAAGCTTTAAAAGAAGATGGGTAACCAATAAAACCCAGTGTTCTAAAATAATTAAAATGGTGTGCAATGATACCTACGCGAATGAAAGTTGAAATGGAATAAAACACACAGAACCAGAACAACTAAAAGCTTGAATCTGGTTCTCTAAACATATAAGTTTAACCTGAACAGTCTGAGAAAGCTGGACAGGCTTCAGAGTGACTGTAGCTGCTGCTGCATGAACATGTTTATATTTAACAACTGTTTGCTCTGTTTCACGTAGAGACAGACTGCTCTATACTTCATGTTTCCGAGCTGTGTTTGAACGCACCATGATCAGATGGAAATGTGTTCGGCTTAATATATATATCATTTAGACATACATGTATATCATTTAATATGGCCTGAAAAAGCAAAAGGGTGTTTTTATCTCAGGCATGTCCAAAGTGGGACCTCGAGGGCCCCCGTCCTGCAGGTTTTGGAGGTTTCTCTGCTTCAGCACAGCTGGTTTCCACTGACAGCTGATTAACAAGCTTCAGCTGCTGAATCAGAGAAACACTGAAACCCTGCAGGATACTGACCCTATCTGGCTGCTTTAGCTAAAGCAGGCGTAGTTATTTTCCTCCACACCGACCACAGGGGTGGCATTACTTCCGCTTTTGCCCCAAAACACAACAAAACAACAAAACACCGAAGTGTTCTGATTGTTCTGAGGGTCCAGAACGGATCCTCATCAGGTTGAGCTTGATTATGATTTTTTTTCCAATCATAATTAATGAAAACTAATTTTTAAATGAATAACTAGAAAAATGTTTTCTTCTCAGCTGTTGGATTTTTTTCACTTCCTGCTTCTAGTTGGACTTCAGTTCACAGCAGAAGCACAATGGATGTAAGTCTGATTAATTCATTTATTTTGATTGTTTTGGATTTTGTTGTTTTCTCCCAGCATCAGGGGAATGACCCCACCCCCACCCCCCATACCATCCCCTGTGACATTTCATTTCTGAATGTGTAAAATTTCTTCTATATATTAACAGTAATGGTAATAATATTGCTCTTTCAACATTTGGCGGGCTGTGCACTTATAAGTAGCCTGAGCAAAATAAATAAACTCAAAGAATGTCCTACCATGACTATGAAGCTGATCCCAGTGGGAAATGAGTCCCTAACTCTGTAGGGGCATGCATGGTATGGTAACAACCATACCATGCATATTGCTTTAGGTTAATAGACTATATTAATTAGAAGATGTATGCTTCCAAAAAATGCTTTTTTGTTTACAACTAGACTACTGAACATGGTGGTGGTAATTGGCTGCACAGATTATTTAACAATCATGTTTGTGTTCAACTTGCCCTCTATGTTCAGAAAAAGGAAATTGGGAGGAAAATAAAAGGTTTGTGGCTTAAGAAAGTTTGCAGCTGATTATACAGCTATGTGGAAATTACTGAAATATTGGGAATTAAACATTAAGAGTCCAAAATGACATGTGGTTGTCAACTTTTCACGATGTGAAACGGACAGGATGGAGGATGTGAACTCACCCAAGTAAAGGACAAAGCAAGCAGAAAACTCAGAAAATCTTCAAACCACCTGATCAAGCATGAAATAAAAGTTTTAGAAAAGTATCAAACCAAAGCTGCATGTTTAATTGATCACTGGTTCAGCTCAACGTTTAGCAAATGTAATTTATTAGCGGTGTGCCGTACTGTTGTTCCAAGCTTCATGCTCATCAACAAAGCAATTTATGCTGACATCTATTGTTTTAGGTATTTTAATTTGTTGAAATAAATAATTATAAAACCATCTAATCTCATCTATGTAGGCATAGTATTCTGAAGATTCTTTGTTTCATATTATTTGCATTTATAGCAGTTAAAATATGCATGAGGGGTGTGATGAAAATCTGCAAACCGATGAATATTCTCTTCTTCCTTTAAATGGGAGGTTCCACATGCTAAACTGGTTTCACTGTAAACTCCCACAGCTTGCTAAGCACATGCTTCAGATTAAAGCACTGGGCATAGGACAACAAAAAAAACAAGACAACAAAAAACTTCAAGTCACTGAGTTCCTAGTTTAGGTGTTTTGACCAGATTACTCTGATTACACCTCCCTGGATCGATCCATAGTGCCAGCATGCTTCAAGTCTTTATCTCCCAATGAAGCCTCAGGTCAGCTCACTCAATGATTACCGGCCTGTCGCACTGACTCCCATTATAATGAAGTGCTTTGAAAGGCTGGTTAAAGAACACATCGTCTCCAGTCTGCCGCAAACATTCGACCCGTTTCAGTTTTCCTACTGATGAAACCGCTCCACTGAGGACACCATCTCCTCTGCTCTCCACCTGAGGCTGGCACACCTGGAGGAGAAGAAAATAAATGTTCTTGGGATTTGAACAGGCCAATGCAAATGATCAGATGACAACTGGGAATATGAGAGGTTGAGGACAAGTCCTCTTTAAAAACTATCTAACGGTACTATGTATAAAGAAACATTTTACAAGATCAAATTAGATTAAGTTTATGTATATAGCAAACTTTCAGAATAACATAATTCATTCATGTTGGATTACATGAAAAATTCTTTCAAATCAAACTTGGACACTGTCGGAGAAATATAGAAACCGCAAGCAATTGACCTGTTTTAATACCTTAATAGCTTTATATATTAACAGATGCTCCACATGTCTTTACAGCTCGCAGATGCTCTGGGTGATAATCAGTCAGCAGGTCCTTGGCCCAGCAATCCAGCCTGGCCAGGTAAAGGCATTGCACTTTTCCTTGTTTGTATTCATGTCTAAGATTATACTTCCTCCACTAAATGGATGTCGGATGCTCCAGCAATGGCTTGTTGTACCATCATCCTAATGGACGGCATCTTGATGAAGAAAACCTAAAACTGGTCTCTATGCAATCTCAGAAATGTTAACTGTATTAAGAAGTGAATGCAGCGGGATGCAGTAATAATGTGACTAATTGCTGGGAAAAAAATGCCATTTACCAAACTCGATTCCTCAACCCTCTCCAAATATTTTAGACTTGGTCCAGATTATTCCAGCCTTTAATCATTTTTACTCCGTATGTAAGACAATGAGTTCTTTAGGAACCAGGAGGTAAAATGAAGTAGGTTGGTCCTTGAAGTACCTGACAGACCTTTATGACATCCCTGGACAGTACCTCCGGATGATGGAGTCCGGACCATGTCCACTACTTCTACTGGACCCAGTCACTTATTAGTCCCACTTCCCAGAATGCCTCTGTAGTGGAAAAAATGTATTCAACTATTCATCCTAGTTAATTAAACGGAGATCGATGGATTTCACTCAGTCGGCACATTTATTCATATCTTTGCAAAGAGATAACAGTTCATCATACAGCCCTAATGGCATGGTTATCAGCCCTGTTCTGATCTGGGCAGCGTTCGTTCCCCCTAACTTACAACAATGGAAAAGTAGTCGGAGTCGAAACAAATAACAGACACTTTGGTTAAACAGTAACATGTTATGAATAAACCTTGAGAAAGGATCTGATTTATTATGAGAAGAAGCTATGTCTGGTCTACAAACACCAGCCTGCACAGAATAGTGTGGCCTTGAGAGAGAAACAGACTGAGTGAAAACTTTTATAGTGAGTAAATTGGATAAATTAATATATAATAGAAGAGAAATAAAAATTTCCAACAACAGCCTCACGCTATGATTTGACTGTTGACTGGAGCCATCTTTGAATTCCTGCCAGTCAGTGGTAGCAACCCCACAGACACCATGCTTCACCAAGGAAATCTCCCATGGATTAGTTTATCACATCTTACAGGATTTTCAAGTTTTTATTAAATTTCAGTGTTGATATCTTGGAATTTTTTTTATTATTCATTTATTATTTTTTTTTTGTGAGAGAAAAAATATAATTATGGTTTAATATTTTGAATATATCTGGACGGTGGTCAAAATTCAGTTTTCATATTAAGAATAATGGGGATTTTTCTTCTTCTTTTGTTAGCTGCATTTTCTTGTGAAATTGTTCCAAAAAAGTTAAAAAAACTCAACACCCTTTGGAACGCGTCCACCCCTTTGGAATGGGGGTCGATTTCAAACAACCCCCATTCCAAAGGGGTGGACCCGTTCGTCTGTTTCAATTTGCATGTTTTCTAAACAAAAACAAGGCTTTGTTGGGCTACTGTATAAAACCAGGAACTCAACGCTATTTCTGATATTTTGAATTGAAAAAACTTCCTGCATGGGAAGAGAAACGTCTTCAAACTTGAAAACAAGTCCAGTGGATGTCTTTCAACTTTGTTGGAATGACTATGACCTGGATGACTGAGAATTTTCACCAGTACTTGTGAAATTCGTTTCATAGATTGAAGTAAATTGACTATTCAAGATGAATGATGGAATTATGACACAGGTCAGCCTGCATCCAACTCTGCCTGGCCCGGCGGTCAGCCTGCTTCCAACCCCGCCTGGCCCGGCGGTCAGCCTGCTTCCAACCCCGCCTGGCCCGGCGGTCAGCCTGCTTCCAACCCCGCCTGGCCCGGCGGTCAGCCTGCTTCCAACCCCGCCTGGCCCGGAGGTCAATCCGGAGGTAATAGTATGTGGCCAGGGAACCCCAGTCAACCCAGTGGACCTGGTGGATATGGACCAGGACCTGCACCTGTACCTGGACCAGCTATGCCATCCCAGCCCAAAAAGAAATTGGTGAGAAATCCAAAAACCAATTAAAAGGAGTACTGTATCAGAGAAATACGCAACGAAAGAGAAATCTCTTAACTGAAGAAGCCTCTTGGATGAGAGGCGAAACATCTTCTAGAAAACTTTGTGTCCAGTTGCCTAAACTGAACTTTTCAAGCATCTTTTAATTGCTTTTAATCTTGTTTACCTTTTATCAGGTGGTTCCCTATGAAGAGTTGCTGCCGCAGGGAGTCTACGACAAACTACTGATCACAATCACTGGGACCGTAAAACCCAATGCTGATAGGTCAGTAGATATCAACATTCTTCTCATCAGCAGACATGTTTTTTACTTGAAAATGAAGTCAAATAAATAATGTCATATCAAGAAAACAATTTTCAACTCTTTGCATCTTTGTTGTTGTGCAGGTTTACTGTGAACTTGTCAACATCCAAGGACATTGCCTTTCACTTCAATCCTCGCTTTAATGACTACGGCCAAAAAGTTCTTGTCAGGAATACATGCGTCAACAATATTTGGGGCAAAGAGGAGAGGGAAGTTCAGAAGTTTCCCTTTGTTCCGGGTCAGCCGTTCCAGGTCAGCCATAACAAGTTTTACCTTTCTAATATTTTGGAGACTAAAGGGCCTGAGAAGGCTGTGTCTTTAGGGCAACGGTCTAGCTCATTAACCTGTTGTAATTTTTCTTTTTGCAGATGAAGATAATGTGCACCAACAAAGAGTTCATGGTGGCTGTTAACAACAGCCATCTTTTGGCTTTCCAACACCGGGTAAAGGAACTGCATTCCATCAATAAACTCTCCATCCTTTATGACGTCACCTTGTCAGGTGTTGATGTTGAGAAAATGCCTTGACACCTTTGCTATTGATCTACGAAACACCTACTAAGAGATTGGAAAAACTAAAACAGTTCATGACAACTAAGATTTTAAGAAGGATTTGCTTAGACCTAAAGTTCAACAAGCTTCTTTAGCAGATCTAAATCAGTTATCAGTCAATCTACAGTTGAGGATGAAAGAATATTACTAGAAAGTCAGATGAATGTTGTTCCCAGATATCTGCTTTTGATCCCTTAGAAAGTCATTGGTAGGCATTCAGTGGTAATCTCCAATAAGATCCAGAGGGGGGTATTTCTGTTTATTCCAGATGATTGCTTTAAGTATAATCTATAATCGATGAACAGGTCATATTTTCTGTTTCTTTGCATGTAGTTTGACATTATAACACCTTACTTCTATTACTGATGACATCAGATGTAATTTGTCTTGTACTGAATAAATGGAAGCTCCCAAACTGCTGCTGTTCAGTGTCTAATTTTAGATGTTCCCTTTTGACCTTGTGTCCCATATGTGTGGTTTCACATTTTTGTGAAAAATAAGAGAGCATCACAAGCTTCCAAATAAAGAAGAAGAATCGACTTTGTCATTACATTGTCACAAGTACCAAGCAATGTAACTCACTCTGCATTTAACCCATTCCTTTTGGGAGCAGTGTGGGGATTAAATGTGCGGTAGGAAATCTTTTCTAACGTATTTTTTACCATGTGGCTTAAAGATCTCTCCACAGCCACTTAGCAAGCAGTGAAATAGAAGGTCTGTGTCATGATGGGTATCAGGGAGGCCCAATATGCAGAACACTGACGACACGGATGGAAAGTTTTAACAGAGTTTATTGGCAAATTCACACATATAATAAAGACTGATGCAATGGTTCTGGGCTGGGATCGGTTCACTGGCGTCTGTGAGAAAGACAGTTTGGTTAGCGAAGGCTTGGTTGAGACTTGACTGATTGTGTTCAGGTTTGTACCTTGATGAACGTAGAGGAGGCTTTGGGAGCGGAACTGTTGGGTCCGGAGAAAGCTTGAGTTGGCAGAGTCCTTAAGCTGTTTCAGCGTCTTACTTCTAAAGGCTGTTTTGACCTTGGCTTGTGTTTCCAGCTCGGTATCCAGAGCTGCTAGGAAATCCAGAGAGTGAGTCTTCAGGTTTGGCTCGGAGGGCAGGCTCGGCAGGTTAAGCTCTTCCAGAGCTTCACAGGAGAAAGAACAGGAAACCTGGAAGCAGAGACAAAAGGGTTAGAATCCAGGTTGGACTCAAAGGAGACTTGGTTCACTAGGGATCTATGGCTTAAGTGCTAACCAACTGATTAAGACACTGCGGCGTCGAGGCAAGGTCTGAAGGCAGCTTAAGTAGTCCAGGTGCTCCAGATGAGATCATCAGCTGCAGGTGTGCCGAGCAGCTCAGCAGGGAGGATCCAGGGCGGACTCTGCTGGAGAAAAGGTGTATTTCTCCAGCTCCCAACAGTACCCCCCCCTCAACGACCGCCCCTTGGCGGTGCGGAAGAGGTAGACGGGAGGGAACGCTCATACTCCTCGATGAGAGAAGGGTCGAGGATGTATGAACCAGGAACCCATTGTCGGTCCTCCGGACCGTAGCCCTCCCAGTCGACGAGGTACTGCCAACCGCGACCTCGCCGACGGGAGTCCATGATCCGGCGAACGGTGAAGGCCGGATGTCCATCGACTTCCAGGGCGGGTGGAGGGGAGTCGGATGGAGGGCAAATGGGACTAGAGATGACTGGTTTAACCTGGGAGACGTGGAACGTAGGGTGAATCCTGAGTGTCGGGGGAAGTTGAAGACGGACGGCGGAGGGGTTGATGACTCGAGTGATCTTGTATGGGCCGATGAATCTTGTGGATAATTTGCGGGACATCCCCTTGAGGGGGATGTCCCGGGTGGACAGCCAGACCTCCTGGCCGACCTTGTACTCGGGGGCTGGACGTCTCTTGGGGTCAGTGAACCTCTTAGAGGACTCAGAGGAACAGTTGAGTGCTTGGATGGTCTCTCTCCAAACACGCTGGCAACGACGGATGTGGTGATTGACAGTCTTCACCGATATCTCTCTCTCGTCAGCAGGGAAGAGAGGTGGTTGGTAGCCGAGGCTGACTTGGAAGGGAGACTGACCGGTAGATGCAGACTTGAGTGAGTTATGGGTGTATTCTATCCAGGTGAGATATTGACTCCAATCGGTGGGATTATTGGAGGTGAGACAGCGGAGGGTGGATTCGAGGTGTTGGTTCATCCTCTCAGTTTGACCATTTGACTGGGGATGATAGCCAGAAGTTAGTGACACTTTACAATTTAGAGCAGAACAGAAAGCCTTCCAAACCTGTGACACAAATTGGGGACCACGATCTGAGAGGATGTCCTGGGGAATACCATGGAGGCGAAAGACGTGCTTGATCAGCAACTGGGCGGTTTGATAGGCCGTAGGAAGCTTTCTGAGAGGGATCAGATTACAAGATTTGGAGAAACGATCTACGATGGTTAAAATAGTTGACATACCTCGAGACTCTGGGAGACCAGTGACGAAATCGATGGCAATATGGGACCAAGGACGTGAGGGCACAGGGAGCGGTTGCAGCAAACCGGAGGGTGGCTGATGAAAGGCTTTGTTCCGTGCACAGGTGGAGCAGGCAGACACATATTCCTTTACATCTCGATGCAAAGTGGGCCACCAAATCCGTCTTGAGATCAGTGAAACTGTTCGGCTCACTCCCGGATGAGCAGAGAATTTTGCCGAGTGCATCCAATGAATGAGACGAGACCTAACAGACGAGGGGACATAGGTACGGTTAGGTGGTCCATTACCTGGGTCAGGTTCTGTGGCCAGGGCAGCGTTGATTAAATCTGTTATCTCCCAAGTGACCATTCCAACGGTACATGAGGCAGGGAGGACAGGTTGGGGTGACTCAGGTTGATCCACAGCGTAGAGACGAGAGAGAGAATCGGGCTTGGTGTTCTTAGATCCAGGTCTGTAGGAGATAATGAGATTAAAACGTGAAAAGAAGAGAGACCACCTTGACTGTCGAGGAGTAGCTTGTTTAGCGGACTGGATGTAGGCGAGATTCTTGTGGTCAGTCCACACCAGGACTGGATGCTCTGCTCCTTCGAGCCAGTGTCTCCACTCTTCCAAAGCCAACTTAATGGCCAAAAGTTCTCGGTCCCCAACGTCGTAGTTGTGTTCTGCGGGAGAGAGTTTACGGGAAAAGAAGGCACAGGGATGGATTCGTTGATCAGAGTCGAGTTTCTGAGACAAAACTGCCCCTACACCGGAGTCAGAAGCATCAACCTCTAGGATGAATTGCTTAGATGGATCTGGTTGGATTAGGACTGGAGCTCTGGAAAACAAGGTTTTGAGTTTGTCAAAAGCTGCTTGTGCCTCGGGGGACCATCGAAAAACTCTCTTGGAAGAAGTTAATGCAGTTAATGGGAGGGCGGTTTGGCTATAATTTCTGATGAACCTCCGGTAGAAATTAGCGAAGCCCAAAAATCTTTGTAGCTGCTTACGGCTTTCTGGAACGGGCCATTCTAAAACAGCTTTTATCTTCTCTTCAGAAGGCTTAACCTGCCCGCCCTCGAGCTCAAACCCCAAAAAGGTAACTGAAGATTGGTAAAACTCACATTTTTCAGCCTTTACAAAAAGTTTATTCTCTAGAAGTCTCTGAAGAACCAGGCGGACATGTCTCTTATGTTCAGATAGATTCTTGGAGTAGATTAGGATATCATCAATGTATACGAATACAAACACATTGAGAAAGTCTCTGCGGACGTCGTTCACTAGGGCCTTAAAACATGCGGGGGCATTTGTTAAGCCGAAAGGCATGACCAAATACTCGAACTGGCCCAAAGGAGTCTTAAATGCCGTTTTCCATTCATCTCCTTCACGTATCCTAAGGAGATGATAGGCATTTCTTAAATCGAGCTTTGTGAAAACGGTAGCTCCTTGTACAGGCTCAAAGGCTGAGGCGAGAAGAGGAAGAGGATATTTGTTTTTGATAGTGATTTGGTTCAGGCCTCTATAATCTATACAGGGTCTCAAAGAACCATCCTTTTTTCCAACAAAGAAAAATCCTGCGCCCAATGGGGATGAAGAAGGGCGAATAATTCCTGCAGCTAGCGACTCGTTAATGTATTTTTCCATTGTTTCACGTTCTGGTTTGGAAATGTTATAAAGTCTACTGCTGGGTAACAGAGCACCGGGTAATAACTCGATGGCACAGTCGTATGGTCTGTGTGGTGGAAGGGACGAAGCACTGACCTTACTGAAAACAGGAGCCAAATCATGGTAATCAGGGGGTACCGGAGTAAGGTCAGGGACGTCCATCTCCCCCCCACCTCTAGGGGACCCCAAAGCGGGAGCTGCAGAATGGAGGCAGGTCTCGTGACACAATGTGGACCAGGACTCCACATGACGATCGGCCCAATTAATATGGGGATTATGCTTCTCCAGCCATTCATAACCCAGTACCAGTGGGGAACATGCGGATGAAAAAACAAAGAAGGTTATGGACTCTCGATGGTTACCTGAGATTAGAAGTTCAAGGGGTTGAGTTTGGTGGGTGACTTGATGAAGTTTTTTCCCATCAATCGCAGAGACTCTGAGAGGCTGGGTTAAAGGAACCGTAGCAATTTGGAGCTGTTGGACGAGATCAGAGTCTATTAAATTACGTTCACATCCAGAATCAATGAAGGCTGAAAGAGAGAGGCTCTGGTCGAGGAAAAACAACGTGGCAGGAAGCAAAAGACGAGGAGGTTTTTCATTTTCTTCATGGCCCGTCAGACTCCTCAAAACCTCTGACGGGCCCCGGCTTTTGATCTTTCTGGACAGGAAGCAATGAAGTGTCCACTCTCATCACAATAAATGCAAAGTCTGCCCAAAAATCTCATTTGCCTTTCCTCAGGAGACAACCTTGTGTGTCCAACCTGCATCGGCTCCATTTCAGTTTCTCCAGGATGAGTAGCCTGAACAGGCAAAGGGAGAGGCTGGCTCTTTGGCCTTGGTCTGGATAACTGTTCTGTGGGGGCAGAAACAACAGTCACGTTATTAGAGGCGGGGGCAGAGGAAAATAACGCCAAACTCTTATGTTTGCGGCTGTTTCTGGCCTGAATCCGGTTGTCCAGTTTTATAGTTAATTGGATTAGTTCTTCGAGTGTAGCCGGTTCATCGCGGGTAGCCAACTCATCTTTGATATTTTCGTTTAATGCCTCGAAATAAGCACTCTTTAATGCACCCTGGTTCCATCCGGAAGCAGCTGCTTTAACCTGGAAATTTATAGAAAATTCGGCCACAGAAGAATTTCCCTGTTTTAAATGAAGCAGAGCTCGAGAATCAAGGGTTTGGTCAGTGTCTTGGTTGAATACCTGGGAAAATTCAGAAACGAAATCTGAATAGTGACAGCTTAAGCTTTCATCTGAGGCAAATCTGGCTTGAGCCCAAGCCAGAGCTCTTCCTGT